TAGGCTAAAATTTCCAATTACAAACCACACATAATGTATTGTAAGATGATAAGCAACAGGTTTCTAATAAACTTTTAAGCAGAAACCAGCATTCAGCCTATTCAATAATTCAACGCATCACATTAACTAAGGGACTTAAATGCCACTGGACATGGAGTTAGTGCAGATACAGTGCCTCTGATCACCCAAAGCATTGTTTGAAACTTCAGAAACGTATTATCTGCTAACACATTTACTTCAAGTTTCCCTCTCATGGGATCAATTCTAAGAATAATCTCCTGGTTTTAATAAATCCTAGTTTTAAGCAAACTACAGCATGTTCCTTTACACGCTGTGTAAGTCTTAAATATAGCAAACAAAGATACCATTTTCATGCTTATGTGGTTTTAGGAACGTAGTGGAAACCATAGTTGGTGAGTTATGACAGCAATCCTTGGTTTGATCAGACCAGGAAGTTACTCACTGATTGGGAATGAAAAAGGAAGCATTCTATCACAAGACTTCTTCTTCCCAAACATGGTCTGGGGTTCAATCCATTTAAGAGGGTGTATTTCTTTCTTGATGCCTGATGGATGATGTTGGAAGAACAAGAATCTGGAATAAGGCTAGTTATTAAAATCTATTTAGCCAGATGAAAACGTATCTCCAATAAGTAGAATAGAGAACTTTTTTTACAGATGTTATTTACTGCAACTAAAAGCAATTTTTGCATTTTAAATAGTTTCTCAAAAACACCAATGCATTTTTACCCCAGGATTCTAAATGTAATATAGGCCCTTTCCAAACACCTGCAGATCTCAGCTTAGGGGTGCCTGTTCAGGGTCAAACCACAGGATACTGTTAAGTGTCAGCTGAACTATTACTTCTGGAATCCCAAGCTGTCCAATGTTTCTGCCTATGATGCTTTCTGCTGAGACACAGAGAGAATCAAGGGGGCCATAACAACACTTCTTGTATGCTACAGTCACACAAACATAACCTGTTTTTGATAAATGTCTCTACTGCTGAAACTAGAAACAACAGTTTATATTACTAACAAGGAAGCAAGGTTAAAAGATTGTAACATAATTAATAAAAGAGAAGCCAGTTCAGATGTCCTGATAGTTTTTCTTTCCTCATTTATGTCAGAGGCAACACAGCACAATTAATAAATATATCAGATAAATTTTGCCCAATAACCTGCAACATCAAAACCATTTGGGGCATCCATCTAACTTCAAATCTTCCATAGCAGACACTGAGGAGCATAGAGTTGCTTGTTCTTTTCCGCACTTACAGAGATTTGTGTTGGTGCAAAACCCCTATGATTCTGTCAACTCAAGTTTATAGTTTATTAAGACATTTCCAGGAATCCAATTCTCCCTGTGACCAAGCATTTTAAGAGGTCAGTATTTCTTTATTTCCACATTATAGTTCTGGTATTCTCTGTTGTTTCTTCAGGATTCACAGATATTCTGAAAAAAATTATTTCTCTTTGATTTTAATCTAGGAAGGGCAGGACGCTAGCTGAGGAGCAGATGTGCATTTGATGTAGATGTTTTGAGTCTTTCACTACAAGCTGCTATTTCTCTTCTTTATGTCACTGGATGCAATGCCTGCTTGGTAATTGATTTTCCCAATAGCGGTTGGCTTCAGGCATCCAGTAAAGATTGTACAGCTTGAGCGCTCCGAGTACCTATTTTGTGTTGTTTGAACTGTAGCACATAAAGCTGGCAGTGTCAAATAGCATGCATCATTATAAATAGCTGTTCCTTAGAGAGGGTGTGTGTGGTTAGGCTGGAAAACTGCAAATTTCTTGCTCCGCTCTCCTCTAGTCTGGCTCTGAAGTATGTGTGCCTGCAAATTAAATGAGCAAGCAGGACTTACAGCAATGGGAAGACTTCTTTCTAGGGCTAACATAGCCTATATCCCAGCAGGGGGCTCAGTTCTCTCTGGCTGGAGCCTGTGCATTGAAAATGATATCACTTCCTACTTTTAAAGTAGAGTCACGCTGGACAGCACCAAATGAGACAAAGAGGAAGGCAGAGAAGGCAGCAAGAAAGAGGAGAGGAGCTGAAGATCCTCTTCTCACATTGTACTTAATGTGCCCTGCCTGAAACATCAGGTCAGAACAGCACAGGATAATCTTATATAAGCAAAAGAAGATGGCAACTGCGCTAGGCAGGAGCTAAGGGAGTTATTCTGGATGTGTGTGAACAGATGGTACCAAGGAAGACCAAGTGCATCCGAGTGCATAAGAGAGAACCCACATGTGTGGATATCAATATTGGAATCTATTCAAATCCACACATAAAAAATTACAGAATAACTCAGACAACTGGGGATAATATCACTGCATACACAGAACCTTTACTCTCTGTGAAATTTATCCAAATGCTTAGTGATTCATTTGAAACTTTATGGATACATGGACAAGGAGAAAGGCAAAGAAGTGGGTTTTAGAGTGAATCAACCCTGAAGACTCACTAGAAGTTTAAATGAAAAACTGAGCCTATTGCACTTTGAGAAGGCAACACTCCTTGGAAAAGACAGCCGTGCTAGGAAAAGTAGAAGGCAGTAGGACAAAAATAATACAAAATGTGCGATAGGCAGACTCAATAAATGAAGCCATGGCCTTTAGCTTGTAAGGTATAAGCAGGGCTGTCAATGAGAGAACATTTTGACGGGCATTAATTAGTAGGGTTACTATAAGTTGGAAGTGACTTGGTAGCACATAACAAGTTACAGCAAATACTTTCTTTAGAGCAGTGGTCAGGGAACAGGGGTAAATTACCCCAAATGGGATAAAAATGAAAACCCTGGGGGTAATGAGGGCGCAACCCTAACCCCCTTCCCTCCTCCTCCTCCTCTTCTGACCAGAGGGGGGATCCCTGGATGCCCGATGGCCCCCCTTCCAACCCCCTTCTCCGGCCCAGCTGCAACCAAGCCACGGCGGATGGCGGCTGGCGACCGGCCCCGACCGGGGGCATATGGCAGCTGAGGCGGTGGCAGGGCCAGCCATGGCGGAGGGCGAGGCCAGGGTGAGTGACTGGAGTGCCCCAGCCGGGAAGAGCCTCTCCTTCCAGTGCCTGGAGAGGTGTTTCACAGCAGAGATGGGAGGACGCAGCCATGATGGTGGCCCAGGCCAGGCTCAGCCTCCTGTTGCTGGGCCGCCCCTGCCGCCCCTCGCCCCATCCCCGTTCCCGGAGGAGCCCACTGGGTTGTGTGGTTTCCTTCAGGGGTGCCTCTGCACTGGCTGGCTGGGCCTGGTGGAGCCTCTTGCCCTCCGTGCAGCAGCTGTTACGGCGCTTCGATGGCAAGGCCCACAGGAACCCTGACGCTGAGACCGGATGCAGCTGCCCCAGCGAGCAGCCGCCGGTGCCAGAGTGGGAGGTGGCGTTGGGCGTCCCTAGTGGGTGAGTTACCTGCTGTTCTTCGACGGCCACCCACCGGCAGAGCAGGGGAGCCGTCCCCATGGGGCCAAGGACTTTGGTGGTGGCGCTCGACTGGCCACACGTGACTGAGATCCTTCCTTTCAAACCAAGGGAGTAATGTTGGTGTATATAAATTTTTAGGGGGTAAAAGGTAAAAATGTTCCCTGACCGCTGCTTTAGAGATTTAAAAAAGAGGAGCCTTAACAGCTGTGCTCCTCTCAGGAACAACCTTCTAATTCCCAAGAGGCTTCTGTCCTGCATCACAAATATTTCTGTCTTGACAAATCTGTTACCTAAAGGTACTAGACATTTAGTAATTGAAAAAATTGCCATACTTCATTCATTTACTTTTTATGTAGTGCCTACACATCACCAGTGCAATGTAGTGGATAGAGTAACAGACTAGGACTCTAGAGAACAGGGTTAAAATCTCGACTGGGCCATGGGAACTCACTGGGCAGGGAGTAGAACTGGTAAAACCATTCCTTAAATATCTCACTTACTTTAACAGCCCCATTACGGTTGTTGGAAGTCAGTTCCAGCTAGATGGCACAGAACACACACACTTACTGTATCACCACTGTCACATAATTGTTCTCTTATGTTTTCCAAAGGCTTATTTTGCCTTTTATTGTCTGTAGAAAACCCAGTACTGTTACTTTGCCATTTTAGAGAACAATGGCACTATCAACACAGGTACAGATGGTCTTGCGATAGGAAGGTGGACAGCTTAGCTTTGGTATGCATAGAAATATACTGAAGAGGTAAATAAACTTACCACCACTTTAGTGGAATATCTCCATTGCCTTTCTGGTCAGCACCATTTTAAAAGCTTTGGTCCATTTTTAATTAGTTTTTACACCTGGTGTAGTGTTATCTGAAAAACTGTTACCTACCGCTGACAATCTTTTCCAGCCTTCTAATCGGTACTCCCTTTTACCATCCTTTTTGCCATCCTTTTTACCACCTTCATTGCCATCTGTTTTAATTGATCCTGTTGGTTATGTATTGTTTTTCCTTGTGTTTTAATATTGCTGTTTATATTATTGTTAGCCACCCAGAGTGGCCTGATTGCCAGATGGTGTGGCGTATAAATCTAATAAATAAATAAATACTCAGTACTAATGTTTTAACCCTTTTAAAGGTTCCAGGAGTCATTCGGACAACAGTCTATGAAAGCACTTGGTTATGAATTTTGAAACAATTTTTAAAACACAAAAGGGGGGGGAGAGATTGAGAGAGAAAGAATTGATCCCATGATTCCTTTTAAAACACGGAAAGTCCATGACAATTTTACTTGTGGCCAACAACAGAAGAACAATATTCGTCTATCTGGGAAGCACCTCAGATCATTTGCCTCTCATGGGAACCCTAACCTTATGATCTGCAGAAGGCAGACACTGAAGTGGAAAAGCAGTTTCTTTAGCCAGAATCCCATTTTTCTTTAGCCATATCCAAGGGGCATTAGATGCGCTTCCAAAGAGAGAGAGGGAGAGAGAAAGAGAGGGTGGAGGGGGGAGAGAGAGAGAGAGAGAGAGAAAGAGAGGGTGGAGGGAGGGAGGAAGAGAATGGGCAGGAATTCCCTACCTGATGCTGGCCCCACATACAGACTGGAATCATTGATGTCTCCACCATCATCCCAAAAATACTGTGTCTGTAAAACCTTGGTGTCTTCATTCTCCTCACTGGAAAATCCTGACCCAGGTGAGGCTTGCAGGGCACTTGGGACAAGCTCAGGTTCAGCCACTTCCAGGTTGGTCTGTTCACTCGAATCCAGGGACTCTACGTGGGACATGGATGTGAAGTCCATTAAAGAGGTTGAGCTCATCCCCTCGGTGCCAGGGTCTTCCAATACCGAAAGGCAAATACACAGGGAGCCTACAGAGAAGGAAAGCCACATCAGTTTTAGGGAGCAGAATGAATAAAATAAAATAAAAGCAAAAGAGAGATATTAGGAAGCATTTTAATTTTCTTTGGTTTAGCTACGTTATCCACACAATAGGACAGATAATGTTATTTGTGGGAATAACATCATTCCACAGTACTGTATACAAAAATGCAGTACATCGACTACAGAGGGAAATGACACATTCCTGCCACAGAATCATCTTGAAGGAGAACATTTAAAATTCACATAACTTAGTGCACAACAGCTCATTTAATTACACTGAAAAAACAACTGTCTTTATTGGTCTTTAGAGCAAAGTTAAAATACTGCATGCAGATGTATGAACAGTATGATACTGGTATATAGAACAGACTTTGCATGGGGGGCTTAACACCACAACCACGAATAAAAGAAATGACTCATAATTAATTATGGAATGGAATATCCTTTTTTAACAGTCTTGCCTAATGGTCAGCATGCCAGAACCCTCTTACAACATAGTCAGCCATGTTTTCAGAAACTGGTCGTCTTCTCCCTCACCCCAATGTAAGATCAATGAAACAAAATTAGTTAAAAGGAGATGAGCTTAAACTGACACTAAATATTAGAGACAGCAGAAGCATGATAGAAGCAATCAGTCCTGAAAAGGAAAGCACAGAGAGGCATGAAGCAGTCAACCAAAACATCGCTGGGCATCCCAAGAGATGGGCAGACCCACCAAGTGTTTTTTGAACATGGCTGAGTCAGTCAGCCACAAGATGCAGCATGCATTTGCAGGTTGAATTGTATTCTGCTTCATTACTCTCATCACTCAGTCTAAAGAGGACACTGGCAGGAGGGCAGTGGTGGTGGGGGGTGAATGAGATGGTACGTAGGATTTATTGTATCTTCTCATACATAGCAGCTGCCACTGTGCTATTATTAGCACTACAGCAGCATCTAGAGAACCCCAAAAGAGAGAGATTTTTTAAAATTCTTGTGTTGAGACTGTAGGCACATGAGCAACTGCACAGGCAGACCGGCTTCTCCCAGATCAGACCGATCCCATTCATTCCATATGGCAACTCATGTGCAAACCACAACAGTTGGTTGGACCCTTTGACTGCCAAGTTGAGTAAATCTGCCAGCCAGTCCCAGTTTATCCATGACCTTCACAGAAAAACAGAACCCAGTGGACCTAAGGATGCCCCACATCTGTTCCTCATGTAATTGCCCTCAAACAGAACACCTGGCCTTAGCTTCAGCCAAAATAGAGCTAACCTCCAGGCTGCCAGCTAATTCTGCTCTGGTTGTGGCGCTACAGATTTATTTGTGTACAGATTGTGCACAAGCCGAGACTCTAAATTAGCAAATTGGCCAAAGCAAAGGAAAAGAGGCGATGGGAAAGCACAATATTGTAGCACTTTAAAGACTAACAGATTTCATATAATCACAGAATAGTGAAGTAGGAAGGGGCCTATAAGGTCAATCAAGTCCAAACCCCTGCTCGATTCAGGAATACATTTATTCCAGTGTGAGCTTTCATAAATGAAAATCCACCTCTTCAGATGGAGGGAGTGCAAATGAATGTCTCTTATGTATTTCATGGTGGTGAGAGTCATGCCCAGGCAGACCTGTAACTAGCAACTCCAGTACCAGGCAAGTGGTACTATATTTTACCCAGGAGAATGTGGTATCCCCCAGAAGAAAAGGATTGTTTATACTTTTTTTAAAAAGGAAAGAACTTGGATATGTTGCCCTTTATTTCGGTAAGACTCACCCGTAGAGTCACCTCTGGATTCTGGTGCCCTTTAAATCCTAATGCCTTAGGGCAAAGCCCCAGCTATCCTAGCTATAGCCCTATGTCCAGGTGAAGATACAGATCACTGACACACTGACAATGAATGGAACTACAGTATTAAGCTATTAATTAGAAGATCCAATGTTTTGCCTTTCACCCCCCCACACACACACATTTTCCCCTTTTACTTTTGTCAACATGTGGAAGCAGATGGACATTCCTATTTCTTTGGAAATAAATAAGCATAGGCATAAGAGTTTTATTTCTGGAATTGTGATCTGGTACATAGAAGTTAAAATCTACTAATCGCCACTTACAAAACACATGTAACAGAGATGTGGCAAACACCAGCTCCCTGGTGCCTGTATCTATAAAGTACACATATCTGAAAGCACAGCAACATGGCTGTATAAAAGGCTTACATGTGTGCAAAGTATTTTCCATGTATCCTTAACAAATGTGCCTGCCTTTATCATATATGTAAACTACCCAGAGTAGACCCGTTCTAGATGGGTGGTATATAAATCAAATAAATAAATCAAATAAATCAAATAAATCAAATAAATAAATAAATAAATAAATGTCTCCTTTCCTCCTTTAAGGCACTTACACCAGCAGTGTCATGCACAGATGTTGTAGGAGTAATCTTAGGATGAAATCCCTAAAAAGACAATGGTACAGCAAGTGTCATATCTCTTTAGCAGAAAATTAATGTTCTGGTCACTTGCATCATGAACCACAGGGATGTCACTGGGTCATTCTGTACTCAGTATTCAAGCCACTGCTTCTCAATTTATAACCGCAACATCATTCTATTTTGCTAACAGATTACTGTATATACAGCTACATTTACAAGCACAATGCTAAAAAAATTAATTTCACTAAGCTCAATAGAGTTTATTACGGAGCAGCAGGACCTGGTCCTGCAGACATAGAGGGGGCCGAGCAGCTCTTCTGGAAAAGAGGGCTGGCATCCAGCAGGGGCCCAACCACAGTCCACTGCCTCTCACCCATATGTGTTGAAGATTACAGCTGTAGCTAAGCAAGAAGAAAAAGTGCTTGTACATTAAGCCCTCACAGTCTACTCTAACTCATTGCATAAGCTTCTGTTACTCTTCTCTAAGCTGATGCCCACCCAGACATTTTGGACTATGCCTCAAATAACACCTAAAAATTAGCCAGGCTGGCTGAAGGCAATGGGAGTTGATGTCCAAAGCATCCAGAAGGCATCCGTTTGAGGAAAGCTGTTTCTTCAAGTAGTGCACCAGATATGATAAGCAGCACATCTCCCTTAAAAATGGACCTTAGAAATAAGTTCATGGTGGTGAAACAATTACAGACTTTTACCTCATGAATCTGCATTTTTGTTAAACAAGATCAACTGATGCCAATTCAGACTGTTAAGCTTTTCTTACATCTTCTCCTTCTCTCATGCATACTCTGTAAATGTTCTATGGCCCAACGAACTCCAGGCATTTATTATGAACCTGGCCTTCAAGAAAGCTAATCCAATTAGCACAGTAGGTTATTTTCTCGGTAGTTTGTTTACCCTCATTTAACACTCAGCTGTTTACCGAATTTAAGCCCTTTAAGAGCCATGATCCTACTTTCCAAAATAGGCAACTATCCTTAGTCAAAGATAAAATGACAGGTTATCTGAAACACAGGTATATCTTTCTTATTACTTATTTATGAATATTTCAAAACTGTTTGCATCTGAAGATTTCAAGGCACTGTGCAGATACTGGCCGAAATCCTCCTATATAGCTACACAAATGGCATACCATTTGGAGGCAAATTGCCCTAGGTTAAGAAATCACAGTGGACATAAGTTCCATGCTGAATCACACAACGTGGTATGCAACAGATAATGACCATGGTGATTTCTTGACTTAAGGCATTTTTGCTCCAAAAAATAAGCTGTTTGTGCTGTGCCAGCTTAAAAAGGCAATAGAATTTGAGGCACTAGTGAATTACACTAGGAAGATTTGCAAAATGTCGTGAAAGCACTCTACACAATCAGCACTGGCTTCAATCTGGAATTTGCTTCCATGTTTAAATATTAATTTATCTCTGCATCTTTCAAAAGCCCCAGAAACAAGGGAAAGGGGAAAGCTAAAGAAAGCTTCAGATTTTTAATTTTTAAAAAATCCCTCCTAATGAATTTAGGCACCCGTTTAATTCACACAATATGGTAAGCAGGACTAAATGACAGAATGCAATATATGCACGTAACCACTTCAGTGGCCCACAGAGTGTAATTTTGTTTCTTTTAAAACAGAATCCACTAATATCAAGCTGGGCATCCCATAGCAATCATGGCCAGTACAGCCCAGGCTTTTCATAAGGGGGCACCATGAACAAAATGATACACGTGTGGCTTAAATTGCCTTCCATCTATTTAAAAGTCATATCACGGCACAGCTAAGAGGAAAGGAATGAGAGAAGCTTTATCACAGATTTAGCGATTGTGGGAATCCCTCAGAGAATTCAGCTGGGAAAGTGGGTGCAGCTGAGGTCAGCTCCCCTTCTCCTGCGTGCACGTAAAGAAGCTACCAGGGAATGAAAAGGAAACCGAAATTTTACTAAGAGGACGTACAGAGGTAGAATTGTAGCCCCCTCTTTCTACACAGGGCAGCAGTCAAAGAAAGGGAGGCTTGTTCCTCACGCTAACAGCTGTGGGGATGGGGGGGGGCTCTTCCTAAGGGACAGCAGATGCAGGGTATCTATCCCTCAAGCAGCCGAACAGTAAGAAAGGAGAAGAAAAACCCTCCCAAGGAAAGACGAGGCTGTCTGTGGAGCCAAAAGGAAGCCTGTCGGAGGGAAGCACCTGTTAGGCAGGGCGACGAGGCAATCCAGGAGGCTTAAGGCTGGAGCCACGTCAAACACCAGATTAGGCCCAGGGGTTAGGTGAGAGCGCTAAAGTCAGGAATTTGGCAAAGACCTGAGAAAGAAAGGAGAATAAATTGAATAGGAAGAGAGCAAAGTGTTTTTTAAAAAGAGAAATTGTTCTTCATGCCGATCGATCGTGCGGATCAGATCTATGGGCAAACATAGATGGATGGGGAAGCACAACTACTCTGAAGAAGCTGCATGCTGAGAAGAATTAGCACCCCTAGCTAGAATAATAAAGCCGCTTGAGCCCACAGGCAGGAAAGAAAGATTGAACTTGCCAGAACTCACAGTTGTGTGTTCTAAATGTTCAATATG